TTAAATGTAAGATAAGAATATTGTTATAGTTAATAGATACTCCTTGTCTAATTTATTCAATTATTTATTTAGTTCCATCTTTGTTCCAGAGAGGATATAAGATAGTTTATTTGACATTCACCCAATATATAATCCTAATGGTCTCCAGAGGTTTTGCCAGACTGTACACAAAAAATGAACACACAAAACAGCACAAGCATGCTATAAAATGTGCAAAAAAGAAAAGTAGGGTAAGTCCATGTCATTCCAGTTGAGAAAGCTCTGGTTAATGATACTTAGAATGCTTCATAAGTTTTCATCATAGAATTTGCAAAAACTTCCCTAAAATTCACCATTTCTTTGTTGTATTTCCAGCCAAGAGAGAGCTCCCCACATAACTACAGACTTCCTAAACTCCAAAATGAGGCGTCAGCTTCTAACTGATCCAAAGGCAAAATCCAGCTTCTGGATTGCCTTGTTTTTCTTGGATATTAACCACTGCAGCAATAGACAAGTGATTGAGATTGGGATATCTAAAAGATCATAGCTGAAGGAATGTAGGGATACAAAACACCAGAGCAAGTTAAAGCTAATTTCAAAAAATTGCAATTCAATCACACATTTCCTAAAAGTGACAGTCGAGTTTTTAATTGTCACAAATAAAACTAGGATGGATGTAAGTCCCTAAATTAGTGGTTTACTCTCCTTTGGTCCAAACCGTTGTCTTAGATAGTTGAGAGAGGATTCATAGTTCTATTGCTTAGAAGGGATTAATTTAATGCTCAAAAAGTAACTAAATATAAACGTATAACTTCTGACTCCAACATAAACAAAGGAAATGTGTATCATTAAAAAAAAAATGAAGTGGTCTAGTGCCTCTTGACTAAAATAACAACGTCCTATCCTTGGGCACCATCAGAATTTTAAAGCACCTTAGCTCTGAAAGGATGATGATGCCCATCCCCATCATGTAACAAAGAATAAAAACAAAATATTAAATCACAAGTAGTATAAGGAGGTGCAATAAAGACTATTTCATTGCTTTTTAAAATAACAAAAACACTGCAAAAATGTTTTTAAAAATAACAAATACCAAATACTGCTCCTCCCAATAACGTGTTGCTTTTGTTTGCTTATGCTCAGTTTGCTAAGTACTAATCCCAATCAAAAAGCACAACTGAAATACATGCACATTCACTTTTCAATCAATTGAAAATTAAAGGCCTATATGGAGACATCCGTACTAGTTTGAAAAGCTTTTAAGGTCACCCTGCAGAAGTTCTTCGGCATCAGCAAAGATGTGACCTCCATGTTGGACAGTCATGTCTGATGCTGGAGAAAAGCCAAGCCAGAGGGGGTGTACGATTTGTGGGTGGACACATGCATCTGTACTTATCAAATGACTGAATGGGTTTCCACCTTCAGGTCAACAGCAGGGAACAGATTTCACAGAGCTTCTACCTCCAAAAGGGCTGGACTTTTTGCCATCTCTTCCCAAGAATTGGGAAGTAGATGGTAGCCCTCCCTGTTCGTGGGTTGCACATCTCCCAGTGGAAAAGTACTGGTGATAAGAAAACTACTGGTGTTAACCCTCAAAGTGATCTTTTCCCGAAGTTTAGCTTCTCTTTGTTATAACAATACAAGCAGCAAACTGATTTGATTGTTTCATTGTTTATGGTAATAGACTGAATTTTCCCATGAATGCATTGTGCCTTTTTGAGATACTGAATCTGAAACTTCAGAGATTTCACATTTCAGCCAAAGCCAGAACACAGAGATGAAAAAAAGCCTCCAAAAGATAAATTATGCTCTAAAATCCCAAACGTGCTTATATTCAAGAAAAGAGCTTTTTTTCTTCTTCTTCTTCTTCTTTTTTTTTTTCTTGAGAGAGTGAGAAAGAGAGCACACACACAAGCAGGGGAGGAGCAGAGGGAGAGGATCCTAAGCAGGCTCCACACTCAGCCCAGAGCCTGACGAGGGACTTGATCTCATGACCCTGAGATCACGACCTGAGCCTAAATCAAGACTCACACGCTTAACCGGCTGACCACCCAGATACCCCATGAAAAGAGCTTTTAATAATATGTATAATTTATCCCAAATGACTGCAAAAAAAAAACCTTAAGAAGTTCTGATTTTTCACATTTCAAATTAGAAGCCATTCTACATTCCTAGTGGCTTGATTTATTTCAAGGTACTGCAGAACAAACTCTCACTTCCATCAAATAGGATTCCTTAGCAATCTTTATGATTAATTCCATAATACAATGATACGCAACGTATGTTAAAATGTTGGCATGATTCTGCATCATCAAAGAAAATTCTAATTTTATTCCATTTAATTTTGATATTATATATATGTTATATTCTAACTGAAAAACTGATAATTGATGTACCATTTGTGTATATACAATATTCAACTAATCATAATATGATCTACAACATCCCAGTTTTAACATATCAGTCTCAAAAAGGTTTGATTTCCAAGGAAAATTTAAAAAGGGAAAAAATCAGAAGTGTTCTACCTTGATTATTTCTGTTTGTCATATTACATGCAACAGATGAATTTAGAGATGCTACACTGAATGTAGCAAAAGAAAAATTTAACCAAGCTTCTTGACAAATATTGAAAAATCAAATTCTGGCATTATATAACTATTCAATGAATAATTATTCATTCAGCTTAAGTAGACAACATTTTTAAGTGAATGTAATTCTTTCTGTACATGTTCAGAAATGCATTTCAAACAGTAACAGCTTTATTAATTTCAAATGCAAAGACCATATCCTTTGTTTAGTCTGACTGACTTACATTACTTATCAACTCTTTTTCTATTAACTACCCTCCCCCAGCCCATTCTTTCTAAAATGAGTAAGGAAGCTTTTAAAAAATGTTTGGACACAATTCACTTTGGGTTATCATGCTACACAGAGAAAATATCACTCAAATAAAAAGATTTCTTTACTTTAGTAAAGTCAAAGGCATATTGAAATTTTCTCAACTTCAGAAAATTTCCTTTTCTCTTCTTTTTTAAAGATTTTATTTAGGGCACCTGGGTGGCTCAGTCGTTAAGGTCTGCTTTTGGCTCAGGTCATGATCCCAGGGTCCTGGGATCGAGCCCCGCATCGGGCTCCCTGTTCATCGGGAAGCCTGCTTCTCCCTCTCCCACTCCCCCTGCTTGTGTTCCTCTCTTGCTGTCCCTCTCTCTCTCTCTCTCTCTGTCAAATAAATAAAGTAGCAGGGAGAAGGAGAAGCAGACTCCCGCTGAGCAGAGAGCCCTACGTGGGGCTCGATCCCAGGACCCAGGGATCATGACCTGAGCCAAAGGCAGATCCTTAACTGACTGAGCCACCCAGGTGCCCCTCAACTTGAGAAAACTTCCGACAAAATTTATTACATTTGGAATAGTCTATCTTTTTGATTCTAATCTCCCACCAACACAAAAAATAAAGTAATAGATTTAACTGGAAATTACATTTAAAATTGTTCTGTTTTTTGCATGTTTTGTTATCAGTCTGTATTAATTTTGAATGATTTTGATAAAAGTCGGGACAAATCAAGTTAGCATACATTTTTCAATCTATATTTAATTAAAACTTTTAATCTTTGAACTATCCACTACTTTTGCCAAACAGTAAGGTTTTATACAATACAGAGTAAGTTAATATATAGGGGGACAAGTATAATTTTTCTAAGATAAAAATAAGGAACAAAATATAAGCAAGACTCAGAAAGAAAAAGTATATTGACCTTGCATTTCTACTTGCATATTTACTTACTGTATCTTTCTAACATCATTTTAAAACAAGACTGGTCTGACATACTTTCTTATAGTTTGGAGTTCTTCAGATAGTTCAGCCTCACAGTAGCAAAACCCTATGACAAGGCAGGTCAAATAATTAAGGACCTAAAACTAAGTCTACCTGAGAAAACTTTTTTTTTTTAAAGACTTTTATTTATTTATTCATGAGAGAGAGAGAGGCAGAGGGAGAAGCAGGCTCCCAAGGAGCAGGGAGCCCGATGCGGGACTCGATCCCAGGACTCCGGGATCATGACCTGAGGTGAAGGGAGACGCTTAACCATCTGAGCCACCCAGGCACCCTACCTGAGAAAACTTTTATTATCACCTTTTAAAAACATTTTGTTTTATTTTCAATGAAAACAACCAAATCAGATTATTTTGGGAGGTAGAGGGTATGTGTGGTAAGTTTGGATTTTTGTGTTCATTTTGTTTTGTTTTTGTTGGTTCATTCTTAGAGCACACTTTTACCCAAGTTACAGATACAAACAAAATTCTTCTGATAACGAAATATTAGAAATTCTTCTTTGCACAAGTTTTATGTCATGAGGAAAAACCACAAACTACTCCTAAATCAATGTCAAATTCTATATATTCAGGTTGAGAAGCAACAAAACTATGAAGACAGCCAAGTTATAAAAGCCCATTTTCAGATCTGGAACAACTTCTGAACATAAAGAGGGTATTTGGCATACATTATACTGAAGGAAAAGTCCTACTTTCATTATTTCCTGATTCTTGGAATCCAATAAAAACTTTATGGAATAAAAACTCATATTCAAAGAATCCTTCACTGAACACATAACCAACCACCACCACAACCCTTCTTTTAAAGTAATGAGAGTTGATAAACTCTAATAGGAGTATGGAAATTTTTATTTTTTCTTGTACATTTTAAAAGAATGATGAAGTGGTTTTTCGGTTTTTTAAGCACCAATGACTTTTAGCACCTGAACAATGCACAACTGAAATACATGCACATTCACTTTTCAAACAACACCAACAAAAATTAAAATGGTGGTGGTTAGGTAAATATGGATGACGCCCATATAGAAGTATTTGCCACTGTGAAGGGCCTACACAGAATCACATCTTGTCCTGATCATACCTGCCTGCCAGAACAAAATAGGCAGCTGACCAATCATGGGGTGTTTATCTATACAGTGGTACCTTTGTTCTCCAACAATGTTAGATTGCAAACATCTTGGAGCATATATTTACCTGGAGGATTCTTGGCAGGATCATTGTGGCTTGGACTTCCTGATTGTCCAGAATCTATAAAGAAATCACAGAAAATGTTTTCTTTTTAATTTGTTTTGAACAAATTTCACAATCCTCAGAAGGACTTTAAAAAAAAAGTTAAGATGCAACAATGAAGCTGAGTGTGTTTAAATAAAGTATACTTTCCCAAGCCTTTCAGCAGCAACACTTTATTTATCAAGCTAGGTGAAAGTCCATACATATTTCTATGTCAAAAGAAAAAGAAAAAAGTAGAGTCTATCATAGTCTCAAAATGGAGCAAGGCCTTTTTTAAAAACAAAAGGTCTGGCTCCAAAGCCACTAAAGGTGGTTTGGAGGTTGGGCCTGTCAGAAGCAATATGAAATAAAGCAGATACATCCCCTAAAAATGCAATCTGAGTGTAATTAAACATGCTTTTAAGAACCTGAAAATGTTTTTATTCGGTGAGTGAAATACACAGAAACGAGAGTCCATTTTTCCAGGATTTCATGTGCATACACATATATCCACTCCCATAATCTCCCAACCTACTGGATCCAGGCCCAGATTTGTCTGCATCCCATAATAGCAATTGATTTGCAAACACCAAGAAAAGCATAAATTACTAGGTAGAAACTAACATAGCTTTGTGGAGAGCAAATTGTTGGATCAATTTAATTTCCATCTGTGATAGACAGACTGCAGATAAGGAGAAAAAGATCAATGTAGTATATCTGAATTTCCTACCCCAAGTTATTTTTCATTGATGCTTTCTGTGGAAAGCAATGGAGAGGCTATACTACAGTTAGGCAACACGCCTTTCCCAGCTAATCTAACACTGTTGTGTTTTGCTCATTCCTCTTTCCTCCACTTCCCCTCTGCAGTTATCTGTGTCATTTGCCCCATATTATTATACACTTACTTGCAGGTTGCTTTGTAATCTTCTTTTATTGGTTCTAGTATTTAAATTTTGTCTCCCCAGCTAAATTGCATGCTCCCAAGCAGAGGCAGAGATTCTATCTACTTCTTTTGTGTCTTCCTCAGTGTGCAGTGTGCTGTTCATGGCTGTGAATGCACTAGGCTTTCAGTAAATGCCGGAGGAATGGAAGGCTCAGATTCAGCAGCCTCCTTTGCCTGCCTAGGAAAGGCAATTTTGAACTTGATAGTGAATGTCAACAAAATTTGATAGGTGGCCACAGATCAGTCTCTTCCCTAAAATCTTGCCATGATACCTAAGCCAAGACAGGAATCCAGTCTCATTGAAGCAGAAAAATCTAATGCTGGTTTTTTTCAGCAGGGTTATTAAGCTCTTCCATGTAAGTGATTAGCATACTGCAATTGCTGCTTCTACTGTTAAATCCAAGGGGATCCTGTTGGTCTCTTTCTATATAGAACTTGGTTATTTATTTTTGCAATTTGCCTCATGCCTGCTAACCAGATTTAACGCTGAGATCAGAATCCTACCTCTTCATCCTATTTCCTTTGTCTTCTTTTTTTCTCCAGAATAGCTTTCATGAAATCTTCGCAAATATATTTAGTGATTCCCACATTATCCTTCAACTGATTTCTGATTTTCCAAAATGGAAGTAAAGAAACTGTTAGGGGCTACTCTTGCAGCCTGAGCTCCAGCTAGCATCTCCTGTAGACAGTCACAGAGTTGAATATTCTCTAAAATGCTTTTCTCTCATCTCTCATGAATTTGCTTGCTTTTTCTGGAATTGAGGCAAGAGTCCGTGACTTATAACTTAGAAGGTCAATCATTCTCTTTCTACATTCCTATAAAAGATGGTACAACATTGGCCATTTTCCAGGCATGGAGTATGATAGTTACATAAAAATGATAAATGACATTGTTTTGCTACAGCCTCAGCTATTTCTGCCTCGAGTTCCTCTGACAAATGTCCTTCAATACTGATACTACATTCCAGTTTAATTTCTCAAGTGACTCTAACATTTTGAGGAGTTCCTACTTATTATTGTTATTAACATACCCACTGGACAGAGAGCTTCTTCATATTCTCTTTTTCCTTCTAAAGTTACTTCACATTTATGGAGGTCTAGACACGCATTCCTCAAGGTGGCTAATGCCACCTTCCTGATGACACAACATGAGGCAGGTTGAGGTTGTCCTCAGGGGGCAGGGGTTGTAGACTCTCCCTGAGCCTTGCATGTTTACTTAAATCAATTTCAAAAGGGCACCACAAAACTCCTTCCCAACATCTGGCTGCTAAAACTTGGGTCAATTAAAGAATGAATGTCTCTTCTATTCCGAAGAAAGTATTCAGCTAGAACAATGGCACCCCCTGTTACCACAACATCCCACTGGGAAACCCTATTCTTTTCTGCTGCAAATTACCCCTTCCCCCATTTCCAACAACTGCACACCAACTTCTTCATTTGAAAACAATATAATTACAAAAAAAAAAAAAAAAACCACAAGCATTTGAGGGAAAACTTAAGTAGACACTACATTTGAGTCACACACTTGCTTTTAATAAGAATTCCACTTTCTAAAATGATCTGGCATTTACTGGCACACAATGGTAGTTTTTCCCTCATATTCCAAAGTCTGTGCCTTTTCATGAAGTAAAAGAGCATATACTAGATCCCAAAACGTAGAAGAGGCCCCCTCAGGGAGGGAGCAATTAGCATTTACTTTTCAGACTGTAAATCTAATACTACAATCTACACTTAACTCTTATGGCACCTTATACTGGTCACTTAATTCCAACTGCTAGAAAAGGAAGTAACCAGGGAGTCATAGTTGGCAGAGAAATCAAAATGAACTGTTACTGTGGTTAGCTTCAGAGAAGGAATTATTCAGACCACATCTAAAACCCTTCCAATTCACCACCCAGGTCACATTACTCTAAACCCAAAGGTTTTCTTCAACCACTTCCATCATTTGCTGAAGTCCTGTGTGTCTGTGTGTACTTAATATGTTATCATGAATTCGAGCTCTGTTCCTCACTAGTAGAGTGATTTTGTGCACAATTACTTAATCCTTAGAGTCTTGTGGTCTTGATTTTTACAACTGTAATACTGTCTACCTCGTAGAATTGTTGCAAAACTTTTATGTAAACCATCATACACTGGTCAGACACAATACAATGAGTAAATGAAAGATATCAAACACAGAGGTCACATTCAAAGAATGATTAATATTTTTAATGGACTAACTCTCAGGAAGAAAGGGAAAAAGGGGATATGACCTAATTCTGCCCATCCCAGGGCAAGCATCTAAAATGATCTGTGGACAGGGCAGGGCACCTGGGTGGCTCAGTCAGTTGAGCATCTGCCTTTGGCTCAGGTCGTGATCCCAGGGTCCAGGGATCGAGTCCCACATCGCACTTCCTGCTCAGCGGGGAGCCTGCTTCTCCCTCTTCCTCTGCAGCTCCCCCCTGCTTATGCTCCCTCTCTCTGTGTCAAATAAATAAATAAAATCTTTGAAAAAATCTTTTAAAAAAATAAAAGGATTTGTGGTAAATCACCTGAACATGAAGGAGTGTGTGCCCACTGAGAATTCCTACGTAAAAGCTGTCTACCCCTCTCCCCTCAAGGGATAAAATGCTGTCATTACAAGGCTCTCAGGAGCTCTCATGCTCAAAAGGCAATAGGTACCAGCCATTTGATGGAAGATGACCTTCCAGAAGACTGAAGTCTACGAAGAACAAGGGTGGTAAGAATGGGGTTGTGAGTTGCCCAGCACACTGGGTCTTGAGTCTAGAACAATCTGGATGCAGTGGAGAGAAAGTGAGGGGAGCAGAACTTGAAGGCAGCACACCTAAACCAGTCCTCCATAATTCCCTCCACATTTTATTTTCTCTTCCTTGATCCCAATCTACATCTTCTACATTTCTGACTTCACTGGACGTAAAGTAGAACTGAAACAGTTTGTATTACATACTTATAAAAATCTCATATTACCCCCATTCCTTATGTTTTAATGGTGTGGAATTAAACATATATGTCTTCTTCTTGGAAGAAAATAGTTAATGAAGCCATTTCTAAGTTACTACTTTTTAAACTCAATGTATTCCTCCTTCCCCAGGAATAAGAAAAGGTTCCCCACATGACCCTTGCCAACCTTTCCTCAATCCTTTCCTGTACTCCCTCTTAAAAAGCAGCCAGCCTTTTATGACCCTTCTAATATCTAAACTTTACCTAAAGAATGGCCAGTTTCCCTCCTGACTCAGTTTTACGAAAGATCCTGGGATATTTAAGTGACCTAAATGGTTTGTCCAAAGTTACATGGCAACTATTAAAACATATGTTCTCTACATGGGCCACCCATTCAGACACACTGCCTCTTGAGAGGTTATGATGCAATCTTCAAATCATGTACAGCCAAGTGATCTTTCAGTAGATTAAATGTTTCTGGGAACTTGACCTTCCCCTAACTTCCCTCCTCCTTCCTACCATTTACCAATACATTCAAAACATTTTTCATAAATTTTAAAAGCCCATAGCTATTCTTTCACTCTAAGTTGGAAACAATTATTATTAAAATCTATATAGTAATTGACACTTTAAAAAGAGGACAACTCTAAATCAAATTTAGTCTGGATTCTAATGTTTTACTAATGATCTAGTGGAAGTCCAATAAAATATTTGTTAAATAGGTAAGATAAATAATAACTGCTTAAATGTTTGTTTTTGAGTACTAACTTTCTGAGGTAGGTGAACTCAATTGTCTGATGGGGGCAGACCATCAAAACTGAAAGTCTTTTGAAGGTCACTACGGTAAGCATCAATTAGATGTGAATCAGTAAGATTTATGGAACACCTCCTATATTCCAGTTGCTGATGTTTGGGACATAATAGGTTCTCAATTATAAATTTCCAATTAATTTATAATAATGACCTTTAAAATACTGTTTTAAGAAGAAGAATATACATTCTGTGCCTTCTAGAGCTCAGAGGCTGCCCAGAGAGAAATAAATGTACAAATAAACTATAATACACTGTGATAGGTATTATTAATGAGTATGTATCAAGATCAGCAAGCAGTTGGTTCTTCCTAGGAATGATGAGCAAGGCCGTGTTATAGAAGGTA